TTCACTAGCTGGGAATAAGGACAGCCTGGGAGAAGGCTGCTGTTGGAAGATCTAGTTTGAGGACTGGGGATTGCATGCTCCAGCTGGGTGACCGTGGGCAAGTTAGAGGGTCCTAGAATGTAAGCGCTAGAAGGGCCTGTGGGAATTGCTTTACCAAAGAGAAGACCAGAGGTCAGATATGAAGCCGTCTGCCTCAGGTCACAAGCAATGACGTCAGTGAGGCTGCTGAAACCTAGGTGTCCGGTCTTGGTTGAGCACTCTTACGTTATTTAATCTGGGTCTAGATTCAAATCCTAGCCCTATTACATGTGAATCGTGTGATTTCAACATGTCATAAACCTCTCTACCTCACCTGTCATATCTGTGAAATAGGAATGATAAAAATACTTAAGAGCATTCCCCTGAGGATTGAATTAGGTGATGTCTATAAAAGTGCTGTTAACATCCTAGTAATTTTTACATTTATTTTATTAGTCGTAGTAAACGTAAGCCTCCTTGCGTTAGCTTCTGCAGGGTGATTCTAGAAACAGTAAGCGTGATCTAACTCAGAGGTCATCATACGACAGCCCATTGGCCCATTTTAGTGGCTGCCAGTTTTTTTGTAAATAAAGTATTATTGGCACTCATCACACCCAGTCCTTTATGCGCTTTTGCTGCTTTCCTGCTGCAACAGTAGAGCAGATTAGTTGTGACAAAGGCCAGATGGCCCACAAAAACGTAAAGAGTCCCAGAGAGTGTGCTGGCCTCGGGTCTAAATGATCAGTGGAGTCTAGGTGTGCTCACTACTCTAGGGGCTGAACACCATGTTGAAATCTCCATTTCTAGTCTTTTGTTCTCCAGAGTCTCCTATGCAGCAGTCCACCGGCATCTCTGCTTGGAAGTTCAAGGGCACCTCGGGTGCAACTGGTCCCAAAGTAAACTGGCCTTTTTTCTGCTCAAGCCTGCAGCTCTGCATTCCTTAGCACATGCCTGGCGCCACCTAGATCCCCCAACTCAGGCAGGAACCTGGGGGTCATCCTAGCACACGCCCTCTTCTTCCTCACCTCCCACTTCCCTGCAGCCTTAACCTCCTCCTGATTCCATCTTTTCATATCCCTGGGCATCACGCCCATCTCTCCAACCTGGCCGACACTGCTCTCAACCAGGCCTTCCCATCTCCCGCCTGGACTAGCTTGGCTCGGACCTGCCTCGGAGTGCTATGCCCATGAAAAGGAGAGATTATTCTTCCATTTTGGTGGTTCTCTGCTTTGAGGCTCTTTGTTATGTGATTCTGTTTAAAAACAGCATAGTGATAATAATGCCAAATACGTGTATTCTACTTTCAAAGCTTATAGAGCACTTTCATACTCATGGTATCTTCTGATTCTGGGAGAGCCTGAGGAGGGCGCTCTTGCTATGATTCGTCTTCATCCATATGTGGTGATTGGGGGTTCCAGGGGCTATAGCTAAAGTCCTGCCTAAGGTCACCTGCTTTGGAGCCATAATTCAGACCCAAGTCCCCTGACTCTGGGCATTTCTTTTCTTTCTTTCCTTTTTTTTTTTTTTTTTTTTAAATCTCTTACCAAAAGCATCTGAAGTTCTGCTTTCTTTTCCCTTGAACACTGTAAATCCATCAGGTAACATTTTACATGTCTTGGGTTCCCACTATGAAGATTGGTCTTAACAAATGACAGTGACTTTTTACGGCAATATCTGCTGTTACTAAGGGAGACAGACCAAACAATTCCCCATTGTTACAGACGCTACTTTGACTTGACAGCTGGGAAAGTCTGATAGGCAGTTTATTTACTTAGCCATTTAACCAAATAAATGTTTTCCTTTTTCTTTCATCTCCTCAAAAGCTAACATTTCGCCCTTAAAATTGCTCCAGCAACATATCAGTGGAGTATAAATTACCTTCCATTCCCACGCCAGCCATTATAATATTATTTGGGTTCTTTTTTTTTTGCCCCTGTTGACCCAGTCTTTCAAAGACACGTGATTCTCCCAGATGGGAGGGTAGGGGAAAAACATGAAATAATTGAAGATATTCCCCTTTATTGCTAAAACAGAAATGCTGTTTTGAGATTGGCCCCGAAGCTTCCTCCTGAGAGGATTGAGGCCATCCGTTTCCTCTTACTAGGGTGCAATATGGTTTTAACTTATCAACAGATGTCACCCCTCCCTATTCAGAATTGTGCGGGCATTTCTAATAAAAAGCAGCTGGAGATAATGGTTGCAAGGGTGATAAGAAGGCTGAGACTCTTGCTTTCCAACTGTACGGAGGCAGCGGGGAAAACAGAGCCATGGACGGAACTCCCCCAGCATGGTATCCTTTTTCCAAATGCCTGGAAAGGCCCTAAGAAATTGCAGTCAGTAAATTTCCAGTTGGGTGGACGGGTGAATGGGATGGAGACAGATCAAACGTGGCTTATACTGCTATTGAAGGAGGGGCCCAAAAGGCTCATTTGGACTTTCCTTATGGGTGTCTTAAGGGATGTGTCGGCAAGGCTGGCATCAGCCTCTTGGAACGCAATTCTTGATAGGCAATTGTGTAATTGCCAGACTAAGCCTTCAAAGGGAGAAAACTGTTTCACGGAAGATTACAGCCCAGCCCTCCTGTGGAGCTGGGAGCTACTTATTATGAGTTACATGTGAATCTAAGATAAGGCTGCTCATTTTTTGAGAAGTGAGAGGCAGCCTGTGAGGCCCGAACAGGGGTCCTTCTGATTATGGGACAGGGCGAGCCAGAAAACTAAGAAGTAGGGTTTTTCTTTTTCCCAAAGCTATTTTGAGGGATATTGAAAATTAATTACCTGCAAATAGAAAGTAAAGAGCAAAACCTCCCAGCCAGTGGCCTGGGTCCTTATGGTAGAATTTATTCAACACGAGGACATAAGGGCTAAACGTATAAAATCCAAGGGAGTGGCGAACCACATTTATTGAGCACATAGGATGATGATGGGGGTGGCGGTGATGGTGTTGGTGGTGGCGATGGCAACTAACAGCTCTCGGGTGCTTTCCCTGTGTCAGATGCTGTGCTAAGAGCTCCACACACATCACCTCCTATGATTATTGTCCAAACAATAAGCTTATGAGGAGAACACTATTTTTACCCTCATTTTGCAAAATAAGATCGAGAATTATTATGACGTCTCACGAGGGTCACATAGCTTATAAGTGCTAGCGCCAGATTCTGAACTCACTCTTGCTCCAGAACCAGATTTTTTTAAGCCGAGGACCGAGTACCTGTCTCCATATGCTGTCTTAGTTAACGTAATGTATACATGAGGCCCTTTCAGCAGATAAGCAAACCAAGGCTCAACAGCAAGTATGGTTCTTGCCCAAGATTTCCTGCTCTTAAGTAGCTGAGCTAGAATTTGAGCTCAAGTTCCAAATTCTGAGCTCTTCCCACTAGACCATGCCACGTCCGTTCACAACTCAACCCTGGCCTGGAGTTCTAGACAGAACATCAAACACGGAACAGGCTGAAGCCTCACAAAAGAGCCTGTACGACTGTCTCAAGCAGAACAGGCTCGTAAAGATGAGGGTGTGAAACATCGACCTGCAGATGCTGCACGTCATCTTTATTCTCTAGAAGAACTCAATTTTAGGATGATGTTGGCTGTTACGCTGATGAATGGCTCTTGTCACCTCCAGTTCATTCATCAGATTTTTCAAGGCAAGGGTGAGCATGTGAAATAAAACATATGTAAGGGGTAGAAAAGCCTCTGGGGGAATCTTCCCAAGGGGTCCACCCATCATCTCCAACTTTTGTCTTTCCTGGAACATTGACTTTGCCTGTATCACAAGTTCCCCAAACAGCTATGCAAGACTGGATTTTTAGATGGGCATGTGCGTGGCATGATGTGTTCTCATGTGCTATCGTACTGAGGTGAAACATGGCAAGAAGTATGGTATGTGAGATTCTTTAATCATAAAATCTATTAGCAAAATGCACTTTCAAAACACTGTATGAGCTTTCAAGAACCATCAAAATAACTTACACACGAACTGCAACTGATTCCAAGGTAGCCTGAGAATCCACTTATGAACAGTGAAAACTATTTACCATTTTAATGGTTCTGACCATAATGTTCAGGTCTGAAAACAGAGCTCTGTCGGTAGGGCCTTGCAGTCCTACACGTTTGTGGAAAACTAGAGACGTATATGAAAATTGAACACATTTGTCAAGGAGTGACCTTAGAAATCATGCCTGGGTAACAAGGGGTACTTCTGTCTCCTGGGAAAGTTCGCTTCATCAGCCCCTCTTTCTGTCCATAAAATCAGATGTATTAAAATTCAAGTGCCAAAACCCACTTCTAGTAAATGTAAGTACCCCTCTCTTGAAGCTGCTGCTGATGGAGTCTGAAGTGGTTTGGTGGCAAACCACAGGCTGTAACACAGGTGCAAACAGCAGAGCCTCAGAGGCGAACGTGACACGTCTCTGAGCTTTGAATTCCACTTTCACATCAGAAAGGGTGCGGGGGCCCCTTTTGGCCAGACAAAATGGACTACGATGATCTCACATCTCTATCAACCTTATTTCAAGCACTGCTTGTTTTTGTTCCTTAGGCTGGCTTCTCAGTGTGTTTGGTTGGTGACCTTATTTTAGATCTGCCGAGTGTAGGCAAATGCAGTTGACACACTGCTTAAAAGATTGAAGCATCCGGACCGTACTTCACTGAGAAAGAATCAGGGTGGGCAGAATGTGTCCATCTCAGAATGTTGATGATTTTAGACACTGAGTCCACGTTCAGTAGCATTGACCATGCCTCCTGCTAGCAACACCGCCCCCCCCAGAACATATCACTAATAAAATACGACCATTCCCCACTCCTCACCTCTACCCCTACCTCCCAATATATGTCAAAGGTCATGCATCCATGAGGATAAACAAGGTGGAAAACAGACACCAGGCAAGGCGAGATGATGTAAACATCAGGGATGTGACTTGAGGTAACAAACAAGCAAAAGGGAAAGCGGATGGCTTAAGGGAGATCAAAAGGACAGATACCTACCCAGACCTGTGCTATCTAGCTACCGGCCTGTGGACTTATATTATCACCACTGGGCTCACCAAAGGGATCACTGTTGGATGAGGCCTGTGACCCATCAGGCTAGAACACAAGAAGATAACACTTTTTTTTTTTCTTTTCAGTAATTGAAAATATAAGACAGCTGGGCATATTTTCATGCACACATACACTCTGTTATTTTAAAGGAGGCAGCACTTCCTTTAGAGGATGCCACTTCCGCAAATGTGAGAACTTGTAGTAACAACTTAATGAAAGGATAACGGTTTTCAGCTGCTCATTTGAACATAAAAGAAAACGTCTTTAGTCACCCCTTTAGAACTTAAGAGTCTGAGCCAGCATTCTTTTCTACATAGGTTTCCTCATGCATTGTCCATTTCAGATACAGAGGTTTTAAATTGAAGAAAAAAAACAAAACAAAACCGAAAGAACAAACCAGTCACTTACAGCTTCTTGCTCTTCACTTTTGCTGGGACTTTCAAAGCCCTCTTCAAAGATGTCATCGGTGGTCGGATCACTGGCGTGGGATGCAGATGATTTGGATGGAGAGCTCTGTCTAGGGGCTGGGGTTGGAGCTACATAGAGACCATGCAAAAAAAGAAAACATCCTAAGTGTCCGGCAGCAACCGTTTATAGCCCACAGAAACCTCAGGGATATGATTATATTCAAGTCAAATCCCAGGACTCCTCCCTTCCTATCACAAGTCAAATCGGTTGAACGGTTTAATATCTCCTCTGTACCTATGAATCTTGTCCTCTCACAAATTTGATGGTCAGGAAGGAGCTGGTGGGAACTTGATAGTAATACAAATCCTTGGACCCCACCCTAGATACACCGACTGAATCAGAAATTCTGTGTTTCTGCAGACTCAAATTGAGACCTGCTGGACTACAGTCTTCTTTCTTAACTTCATGTAATTATTTCAATAAGAATAAATAGAGAAGAGGAGAGTGATGTGCATTTATTGAGTGCCTTCTATGTGTCGGAAGCCATCAGAAATTTTACAGGCGATATCACTGACCCGCATAAAGCCTCTTCGAGGTGGGGTTCTTCCAATTTTACAGATAAGGAAGGTAAAGATTGCTAAATTGCTCAAGGCCACAGACTTGGCAAGTGGTAGAAGCAGGCTTTGTATCCTGGCACACAGTAGGTATTTGATAAACACGTGCTGAATAGAGTGTCTCAGTGATCTGGGAAAATGAATGTAGCCGACGGCAACTTCACAGCTGCCACTTTTCTCCTTGTTCCATAAGGATCTCCATTTTCTGTCCTAACCTTCCCACATTTCCTTTGTCTCCTTTATCCCAGAGGTTTATAATAAATACGCCATTAGAAACTACTTTCCTTTCAATAATTTCTTTGTTTTTCTTTTCAATAATGTCTAACTTGGCATTGAAAATACCCAGCACTGGCTCAGCCCCAAGGGAGGGGGGGAGGCGTGGCTTGATTCAGTAGCTGAATTTCAAAAGCCATTGACAAGGCCTCCCTGCCATTACATCCCAGAATTTACAAAATCTGGCTGCTTATCAGACAGTGAGTGATTATAAAACTTGGTGGGTTGCTTTTGCCTCGATGAACCTCTCTTTAGAATGATGATGCTATTTATTGTGGGCCAGCAAGCTAGACACGGTGCTAGGCACTTTGCATTCATTATGCTCTCTAATATAAACCCTGCAAGGTGCTACTGTACCTATTGTCTTTTTCTGATGAAGAAACTGCGGCTCAGAGAGGTGAAGTGCCTTTCTTAGAGTTAACACAACCATGAAGCAGGAGCGCTGGGATTTAACACAAATCTGACAGTGTTCAGTCCACTGTGCTTTTCTATTTCTATTTGAGGTGTACTTTTGGTTCCTCTCCGCTCAAAACATTCGAAAGGTGATGCTGATGGATAAGAAGATATAAAGATAGGTTGCGGGCTTCCCTGGCGGCGCAGTGGTTGAGAGTCTGCCTGCCGATGTGGGGGACATGGGTTCGTGCCCCGGTCCGGGAGGATCCCACATGCCACGGAGCGGCTGGGCCCATGAGCCATGGCCGCTGAGCCTGCGCGTCCGGAGCTTGTGCTCCGCAACGGGAGAGGCCACAACAGTGAGAGGCCCGCGTACCGCAAAAAAAAAAAAAAAAAAAAAAAGATAGGTTGCACTCATTTTCTTTAAAATAAAACATTGTTTCTTTTTTTTTTAATTTAAAAGGAAGTCTGTTTTGTTTCATGAGATGCCTATAGAACAAACCAGTTAGAGAGAGTTTAAATGAGATAAGCTTTATGAAAACACCTTGATATGCGGTAGATGCTTAATAATTATGAGTGTAATTGGATTCTGAACTGTGTTTGACATGGTTTCTTGCTTACTAAAGGCTGAGAACCCTGACAGAGCTGCCGATTCTGAGAGATATACTGCTCATACTTATTGGATGGAATCAGTGGGATGCAAAACTCGAAGTTTATTTATGCAAGTATCTGAACCTTTAGAAGGTTTTGTAGAATACCTCTATACCCTAAAACTGTGGTTCTTAATCTAGGACAATTTTACTCCCAAGGGACATCTGGCACTATCTAGAATCATTCTTGGTCATCATGGTAGGGGAAGAGGATGTGTGCTACCGGGCGTCTAGTGGCCCTGGCTAGAGGCCAGGGACGCTGCTAAACATCCTACAGTCCACAGGACGGCCGCCCACAGCAAAAAATTATCTGGACCAAAATCTCCCGCTCTGACACACGACAGTAGCTGAGTAGCCTTTGTTTTGTACCTTCATCCTCTACAGTCGTTCCAAAACACATCCCATGTGCCAGACACCACACAACCATCACGAGACGTGTAGCAGCACGAGGATGATTAAGACATATTCCCTGTCCTCAAAGAACTTAAACTTCCCTCTTTTATATATATAGCTGGCACACAAGCCCCTTGAAAGAGAGACACTTGTCTTCAAAAGATGCTTGCTTTTTCTGCATGGCTGTCATTTCTTTAGCATTTCGTTTTTTATTCATGATTCTTCATTGAAACCCCGTGAGCTGGAGTGAATAGAGATGCCCCCACCGTGTAGATCATATGGCCTGAGAGGAAGTAGGTTATTTATACCCATAGAAGAGGTTCATTTTCAGAACAGCATCCCAAACCTTGCTGAAGTGACACTATCTAATTGTGTTAACATTAGATTTTTTTTGACAATTCACGGGACTGGCTAAGCAGTAATCCGTACCATCTGTGACAGTAATGAAAACGCCAACCTCACTGTTCCATGAGCCTTTTCCTTCCCCTTATCAACTGTCAAGGCACAGGCTGGATCACCAGACACCTTCCCCGGGTGGTGTCAACCAGGCATCGGCGTGCCCAAGTACATCTGGATTCTGATTGGCTGCACAGTGCTGGTTTTCCAGATGCTGGCCATAGAAAAGTGAGCTGGGATAGAATCACCGAATATGCCAGAACTAGGACAAGGCACAGAGCTATTGAAGCTAGCTCACTTATTTCACCCAAGACACAGCTGAGGTTAAAGGAAGTCACACACTTGCCCGAAGACACAGTTTGGGGTGGAGAAGGCAGGATGAGAACCTCAGTCCAAGACTGCGCAAACCCGCTCAGTATGCCATAACAATGATGATAAAAATACTTCCAACTCTGTGAGGCACGTAATGTTTTAGAACATGTACCACTGAATCCTTTTTATGACCCTTAGCCTAAGACAGATGAGGACATTGAGGCCCAGAGAAGTAAAATGACTTGCCCATCGACACAAAACTAGTAAGTAATCACGCCACTCTCTGGATTCCCAGCGCAGAGCGTTCTGACTACCTGAAGCTTTGAGCAAATTCTCGCTGCCACTCTACCAGCTGTAGGAGGCCTTATGGCTGCTCTACCTCTGGCCTGTGTTTTCTCCTGATCTTACTTTTCTGATTTTTTATACTTGTCCCTAACATTTTTTAAATGCACATACACCATTCATTTTTAGTTCAATAAGGCATACCCAAATCTATGTGTCAGAGCTGGGATATACATAAATGAATACATGGATGTGCAAGGGAACAGAAACTTAAGGGCCAGAGTAACATGCTAGACAAATAACAGGCCTGTATCCGATTCCACCCTTTTGTCTATTTTCTTTGTCTTTGAATCTCACTTTCGTTATCTGTCAAACAGGTCTAACGAAACTTGCCACTCGCATTGTTAGGAGTATAGAAATAATAAACATAAAGCACGTGGAGAAGGTGCGTAGGATTGGCACCTAATCACGGGAGGCTATTCGTAGCAGCAGTCATATACACAAAGAGGCCTGTTGAATGCAACCGAGGTGATTTCTCTGACGCCAGAAGCAAGGCATCAACTGATCCCTGGGGGTTTATGCCTTCAGAGAAGGGCACTCACGTGAGTTGGTCGATGGTGTAGTAGAAGTCACAGGAGTCAAATTCAACTGGGAGATGTCAAAGTCATCACAGTCGTCTGTATCCTGTGCCACCCCGACTTTGTTGAAGTAACTGGAGAAGGCCTCTGAGGTGCAGGTGAGGGAGGGCTGGTCAGGTTTGCGGGAGGGCACGGGTGGAGGCTGGGCCATCTGGAAATCCTTAAACATTTCTTTCCCCATTTTCTGCCTGGGCTTGTCGGTCTGTGGACTTGACCTGGCGGAGTCACCCGTGGCTGGGACGGTTGCAAGGGGGGTGAGGGGACCTTGGAACATGGCAGCTGGCAAAGGCATAACAGTTTGTGTGGGCATGAAGGCGGCTGGCGGAAACTGCCCGGCCACGGTGGGCCAGGGCTGCTGAGTGGCAGGGAAGAGACCCGGCTGGCCCCATGCGATGGGCTGAGCCCCTGGCATCACCTGAGCGACTGCTGGCTGAGCACCCATGGCGATCTGCTGTTGGACAAGGGGCTGCTGGCCCCAGAAGGATGGGAGGACGGCGCCCATTGCAACATAACCTGCAAGGTTAAAAAAAAAAGTCAGGCGCCTTGGGTAAGAATTATTCAGGGAGTCAAGTGATGGGCAGAAAGGGACCAAGCAACTGTTGAGTGTCAGGCTGTGTGCTAGGATGCAAAGGTGAGTAAGACAGAAGTCCCTGCTCTCCTGGAGTCTGTCTTCTAGAGCCCTGGTCAGGGAAAACTGCTCTGAGGAGATGACTTGTAAGCAGAGACTAGAATACAGTGAGGGGGACACCAGGCAGAGATCTGGGGAGTAATGATAATATTACTATAGTTCTTAAAGTTCTTATAGTCTTATAATTCTTAGAGGTTTCTGACATCACACAACCTCAGAAGCCAGTGTGTCTCAGTGGAAAAGGCAGAGCGCTGGAAACCAGGCACATCTGGGTTTGAATCTTGCCTCCCCTTCTTGCTAGACTCAGGGCATTCCCAAATGCTTCAGCTCTCTAAGAGTCAAGCTCTTTGTTGTAAAGCCAGGTTATAACATCTTCCTTCTCAGCATCGAAGCGGTGTGCAAAATGATTAAGAATCAAAATGTTGGAGTTTTAGAGGCCAAGGTTAAAATTCAGACTGCCACTTCTCATCTATGGAATTTGGGGAGAGCTGCAGAAGCTCTCTAAGCCTCTCCTTATCTGTAAAATGGGTAGAAAATACCTTCTGCGCCTCATTGGGTTAATCTAAAGATTAAAAAAAAATGTAAGTTAGCATCTACTCAGGACCACCTCATACAGTGGCATAGGTTGGGCACTGCAAAACTCCAGGGGGTGTACTCACATATGTCACCGTAATTTTTTGCTATATTATTCCTTTCAGGTGAGATCTAGTCATTTTAAAAGGAGCACAAGTGATACTCTGTACCATAATAATAGAAACAATAATAATTTCCACCTATTAAATGCTTACAACATGCTAGGTACAGTATTAGGTGCTTCACATCTTTACAAAATCCCTGCAGGGTCGGTATCATCATCTCCATTTGAGGGATAAGGAGATTGGTGCTCAGAGAAGAAAAGCACCTCATTCAGGCTCACACAGCTGAGACAAGCTGGGATCAGGACCTGAACTGAGGTCATCTGTCCCCAGAGCCAGCATTCTTCCCACTGCCTCACCCAGATGGCCAAGACTGACTTCTGATCTTAGCACAGTCGGTAAAGCTGGTCTAGCCATGTAATGTTTTAGCGCACTGTGGGCCTGGAGGAGACTCCCATGTCCTTCCAGGGGTCCCCACCCTTTTCAGGGTGCAATCATGCCCAGGAGACAGATGACCAGTCCAGGCAGAGTAGACGGCCTCTCAAAATATGCATTTTTATGGCTATTGGAAGGAATTTGCAGGTACAGAGCAGTGAGACCAGGAAAAGAAGAGGGTGGTTGCACGGTATCCTAGCAACTTCCAAATGGAAGACTGGCGAGTGCAGGGGCACTGGGCATGTCCTGGGTTGTGTCAGTGACTCCGGTGAGCCCAGAGAAATCACGTGTGGGCTGCCTCACTCATGCTCTAGCCTCAGATCTGCCCTTCAATGGATTCATAAGGGATGGAGCCAACTTCAAAGCCAGTCCATTTCCTTCCAAGGTCAGAGGAGGCTCCAGTAGAGGGGTAGAGACAGACACACGGGCTTCCTACTGATCAATCTAATAGTGTTAAATACTTTTATGGAATGAGGCAGGAGTGGCAACAAAACAGACAATATCCTTATCAGATCACCTTGGTCCTCGTGCCCGGAAATGAGAGGGGTGAAGAGGCATTGGTGCTGACGTTTAAACTTGTAACTTGCTTACATTGTCTATCATAATAATGCAGTGACTTGAACCTACCAACAGACTAAGAATTTGGCAACACTGTTTTTCTTATTTTCTGACTGACTTTGACAGGGTTCAATGGTTCTCAGTGGGAGTGCTACTGCCTCCTAAGGCATGATTAGGAAATTTCTGGGGTGTGTTTTGGTTGTCATGATAATTTCGCGGCCAGACAGTACTGGCATTTAAGGGGCCAAGAGCACTGACACTAGACCTTCTATAATGTGGGAGATAACGTGCGTGACAAAGAAATGTCAGCATTCTGTTTGCGATTATTTGAGTATAGACTAGATTTTTTTAATGACTATTTTATTTTATTATTTATTTATTTTTTGGGGGGCTGGCGCAACCCTGTGGCTTCCAGGATTTTAGTTCCCCAACCGGGAACCCAGGCTACGGCACCAAAAGTGCCACCAGGGACTAGATTGGACTTTGAATCACATGGAAAATCAAAGTTTCTTTGCACAGTTTTAATGCACTACATTTTCCAGGAATATAAGAACTGTGTATATTTGAGGGGAGACTATACTTCGTTTTGTCTGGAACATTGTCAGGAGTTGTTCACCAACTTGGAAAATCACGGTCCCTGATCATGGCGCTGGAGGAAGCATGACACTCCTGTACTGGGTGGTCTGAACCTGTGGTGATTCTAGTCATAGGTACACACACCTGACCACTTAGTATGTTTTCTAGTGTAGTTTTACCTGGGTATTTCCTTACTGCTATATATTATCTTGTTATTATAAATTAGTTTCCTTTATTTCTTCTTTATATTACAGTTAGGACATTATATTGATTTCTGAAAAACCAAGTAGGTAGGTTATATTCTCTATGAGTTTCATTTCAAAATATTAAAGGAGACATCACAAATCCTTGTTATAAAAAAGGGGCACTGGGTCTGACAGGGTGAAGAACGGCCCATGGGTCTTGCCATCACACCAACCCTGGTGCCCATTGTGGTAAATGGATGGAAGGCTTCAGCCTCCAGCCAGACTATTTTTTTGCTTGGCTCCCATCCCATCCTCCTTACTGCCACCAGACGACTGTTCTAAAATGCAAATACAGTTGACCCTTGAACGACGCGTGGGTTAGGGGCGCTCACCTGCACACAGTGGAAATTCTGCATATAACTCATAGTTGCCCTCCGTATACCTGGTTCTGCATCCACGGAATCAACCAACCGCAGACCACATACAGTACTACTGCAGTATTTCTTGGAAAGCATCCACGTGTAAGTGGACCGGTGCAGTTCAGGCCCGTGTTGTCCAAAGGTCAGCTGTACAGTGCTTCATTACCTTGAGTATGAGGCCCGGAGGCCTTAGCTTGACTTTGGAGCTTTTGGGGTCAGTTCCTTTCCACTTCCTCACCCCCATGTTCCATTTGCTCTCCCACTGGCACCCTTCCCTGCAGCAGTTGCAAACAACCCAACCTGTTCTCTCGTCTCTGTTGGTCCATCTGCCTGGAAAGCCATCCCTAATTCTTTTTCACATGGCTGCCCCTCCTTTGCTCTTTGAGACGTGGTTCGGCATCGCCTCTGCCCTCTAGACTCAGCTGGTTCTCCTCTGGGAGTGCACAGTCCCCCATGTTCATCTCCACTGCGGCACTTGTCACACTGCGTCGGAAGTGCCCGGTGATTCTGTCTTCCCTCATGAGACTGGAAAGCTCCCGCTACGAGGAACCTTTCCTTTCTTTCTCCCTCCCTCCTCTGCGTCTAGCACAGTTTTGGGCACACATCCACTGCTCCATAAATGCTGGAGGCTGGAGAAAGGCTCTAGGTAGAGGTGAATGAGTCACAGTGGAATAAATGCCTTCACTGCATTTTTCTAAGTCTCCAATTAAACTCCAGCATCCGTAAGTGCTATGATCTCTGATGAGTCAGTCTACTGCTGGTGGCAGGCTTTTTCTGCCCCTTTTTTTTTTTTCCTTTTTTCCACAAGGAGCCAACAGATGGGCTGTGCACACTTTTCTGGAGAGAGCTATTAGCATGTCTCCCTGGCTTCATGCCATCTGCTTCAGAACAAAGTACAATATTCAAAAGAAAAAAAAAGGCAACAAGGGTAATTGGGTATCATGTTTGGGAACTTGCAGGTCTCACTTGCTCTTCCTGGGTGGGAGGGATCCCTGCAGTGGGGGCTTTCCCCAGACCTGTGAGCCAAGGCTCTCGGGCCACATGGCACTGTGCCTCCCTGAAGGGCCATCTCAGTGGCAGGGCTGCAGTAGCACTGAACATGGGAAACCACTGCGTGGCTGCCACTGCAGCCACTTAACAGCTTAGTGACTGTTTACTGGTTAACATTCAACAGTGGAGGTGCCAAGGAGCATCTGTTTACGCCATGAAGTCCAGATGAATCATAAATCTCCTCGCTGTGCAGTGAAAGGAAACACCTGCATTACTGTCTTGCAGTTAGATTTTTAAAAGTGTTGAAAATCGCAATTTATAACCAGATGCTGGCACCTGGGGATATCCTCATTATTAAAAAAAAAAAAAGCAGACTAAAATGGAAGAAAATAGTGAAAACTAAAGGACTCCTCCAACATATATACAGAACTTATATGGTACCTCTTATCTACATTATGTCATTTGATTCATTTGTTCAAAAATGGCCCTCCTGGGTGCCAAGCACTGTTTGTCTTTGGAGATGCGTGAAGAACAAGACAGTAAAAAAAAAAAAATCCTTGCTCTAGTGGAGCTCACATTTTTTGTGAAGTCGATCCTTGCAAACAAGCCTCTGGGGTAGCTGTTATCAGTATCTCTTTAATCTGCATACAGGGAACCTACAGCTTCAGGAGGGGAAGGTTTGATGTGGCTACACGGCAAGGGTAGGTAGCAGAGCCAGGGTCCCCAGTGAGTAGGGCGGAGAACGTTTTCGGAGTGCTTACTTATGTAAACACTGCCAGGCACTGTTTTAAATGTTTTATACTACATGTATTAACTCGGGAACAGCTCTATGAGGTGGAATTATCATCCCCATTTTACAGATAAGTTCCCTGAGGCTCCAAAGCGATACAGCTGAGTGTCACACAGCTGGTTAGTGGCAGGGTCTGTACTCATACAGAGCACATTCTCCAAGCCCTTCAGGCCAGCTCTGCCGTGTGCAGTCAGGAAGTCAAAGACCTAAACTTTATTTCATGCATTTTTTAAGAGAACATCCCAAGAAGGCAAAGGAAAAAAATATAGGTAAGAAGAAGACATATTTTCTTCTACTTTAGACGTCAGAGTAATAATAATAACAGCATTTTCCACATCGAGCATTTACAACGTGCCAGCATTTTTCAGAGGCACTTGACTTTATTTTCTCATTTAATTCTCATGATATTGTTGCAAGGTAAGTATTATTTTAAATTCAGTTATAAAAATGAAGAAACTCTGACTCTGACAGGTTAAGTAATTTGCCCAGGAGCCTAAAGCTTATAAATAAACGATTGAGCCAGGGTTCAAACCCAGCCTATTAATTGTGCTGCACACCCCAGGTCATTTCCCATCTCCCGGTCACTGGCTGGGCAATTAGGGACAGGAGCCGGAGATTCAACAGCTGCAGTGATTTTTAAGGCCGGCTAAGGGAGGAAGACGGCAGACAGTTTAACACCAGCTGAAGCCCAGTTTTGTTTCTCAGCATAGCCGAAGTAGAGTAAGAGTGGCAAAAATACGCTAACTGAAATTAATTTGAGACTTACTTTCTAAAAATTAAAATCTTGGAGGTAAAAAAAAAAAAAAATCTTGGAGGTAATCTATCTTTTTTTTTAGCAGCTGAAGAAGCAGAATCTGAATGTGCAGAAGTGGTTTATCCAGTTTGCAACACAGCTGGTCAACTACAAGACCGCAAAATCCAGGCCTTCAAAGCTCTGAAGCTCTGGCTGGGGGGAGGGCCGGGAGGAGTGCAGACAGGTTCTCAGGCATTTTAGTCAAATGTTAGGGCCGGGGGGCTTCCCTGGTGGCGCAGTGGTTGAGAGTCCGCCTGCCGATGCAGGGGACACGAGTTCGTACCCCGGTCCGGGAAGATCCCACGTGCCGCGGAATGGCTGGGCCCGTGAGCCATGGCCGCTGAGCCTGCGCGTCCGGAGCCTGTGCTCCGCAATGGGAGAGGCCACAGCAGTGAGAGGCCCGCGTACCGCAAAAAAAAAAAAAAAAAAAAAAACAAATGTTAGGGCCGGAATTGCATGCAGCCCCTCTGACTCACAGAGAAGGGGGTGGGGGAGGGGCCGGGCCATTTCTCCACCTGGAGTACTCTTGATCCAGATGCCCTCCTGGCTCACATCACACTCCTCCTGACCACAACCTCCATTCACACCTGCCCTGCTCCACACTTCCTTCTGTTCATACCACTGATCATTTTCTAGGATTATGTTAAGCTACTTATTTTTATGTTGTTGTCCATCTCCCCAGTAGAACGTAAGCTCTCTGTAGCCAGGGGTCTGTGTCTTTGGTATTCACTGACACACCCCAGACACCTAGAACAGGACCTGGCCCATAGTGAGTACTGAGTGGATATCTGTGGAACGAACATGCCTAAAAATGAGTAAGTTGGGTGCCATCAGAGAGTGGGGACAAAGCATGGTTATTCTGGATACAAGGCTGATGGCCCAGGAAGGTGGTACGTTTCTGGAAAACTGTTATTCTAATTTAAAACGACAGATTCAATAACACTATTCCCAAGGACATTTTAATATCCACTTTAGGTAGAGAAAACTAGTCATTGCCACTGTTCCATTTTAGGGGTGGGTAGAACAGATTTGATTGGAAAGCTTAGCAATTAAAGACATTTCTAGGCTACCTATAGATTCTCAACTGTAAGTCAGACCCCGTTGCTATCAACCTCTGTTGCTTCTAGAAGTTCATAATGATCCCTCAGCTCATACGACTTTGGAACAGAGTATGAATTTTTAATTTCACTTTGAATAACAGCAAGGTTTATATTTGGTGGCAAGAATTTGTTTCTAATGCTGTGTAATTAAAAGTAATTATTTATAGAAGAATGCAAGAAATTTATATTCTGAAATATTCAAACTCTGCCATTTATATAAATAAAGTAGAAAAAGAAAGATAAAGCCACAGATTTCAAATATGTAGTTAAAGAAAAAAAGTCTTTAAGGATGTTTTTGCCTTAAAGACTTTACTTTTTGCTATGTATGCAAAAAGCAGTACTAATACCACCTTTGGCCATGTTCAGGTAGAGTGGGCCAGCTACACGGAGTGCCTGATGCCATGGAAACAAGATGCCTCAGACCCCACCAATATGCACCTGCAACACTATTACTATATATATTTTTACCCTGTTGTAAAAGTGTATATTATATATATACGTTTTAAAGAATATTTGGAATATAGAACAAACGCTCTTTAAACCACTAAGAGCCCCATTACAATTCACTGTTAGCAGTTTGTTCTGTCTCCCAGGTGTTTCCCTTTGCATGGGGAACCTCCCCTTCTTTAAGCCTCCACCCATAAGGCAGATCTCTTCTATCCATCAGCTCTCTAGAGGTCTGCAGAGCACGGACTCACACCTCCCCCACCTTCCCTCCATCTGGCTGAGCTGGACAGTACAAATCAGGATTTGCACTGATTTGCATGGTTGTGTGTGCACCAAGCTCCCCAAAGCTATACACTTGGAATCTTGACCTTTCAGGTGCAAGACATGAGTGATTTCCAGCCTGCAGCATCCCAGAGTTTTGTGAACATACCACCCGCCTGCCCACGGCAGTTTCTCAATGTCACCTGAAGAGTCACAAGGAGAGAATGGTGGTCCCACAGGTGTCTGGCATAATCTGGCAGTGGTTCAGTCAACGCTTTCTCTTTCTTGGTGGGTGGAGGCAGAAGGAAGGTGGAAGAGGACTTACCTGAGGGTACAGCAGCAGTGCCGAAAGGTACAGAACCAAACATGTCTGCACTCGCCGGAAGTGTCTGAGATGAAGACGGGATAAAGGCATCACCTGGAGTTGCAGGAGTCTGTCAGACAGAGAAGGACAGGGGTGCGTGAGGCCCCTGGGAGACCTGGCTCAGTGCTAATCAGGACGGGAAGCAGCAGGCACAGGAATTAAGTGGGGCAGTGCTACAGAAGCAAGCCCCGGTCCGGGCCACTTACTGTGGCAGGCAGACCATGAGCTGGTCATAAAGACTATAAAATGGGAAAAACAATACCCATCTCTAGAGCTGCAGAGAAGCTTAAATGAGATCATGCATTTCAAACACTTAGCACCTACCACACAGAGGCACATAGTAGGTGCTCAGCAAATGCTGGCCAGTATCGTGACTATTTAGTTTGAGCCCCTACCCTTTGAGGGTGTTTTTGGGCCCTCAAATTATCCCATAATATCTTTCACCCTTCAGAAATGGTCAATTCAAAGTGACATACACTCACTCAGGACCTACCGCGTGCCCGGCTCAAGGCTGTCACTTAATACGTGGCCAATAAACAGATGTTGACTCAATAAACAAAGAAAGATTAGCAAGTAGAATAGAGACCCTTGGGTCCTGGTGCCTCCCAGAATCCTGCCTGAACCTTCATTTGCAAAAAGAAGCAAATGTTCTCAAGAAGATGATAAAAAAAAAAAAAATGATGCTTGAGCAGGTACAAACTTTAAAGCCTGGCCCATGCTGGAATTCCAGAAAGGCCTGCCGCATGAACTACTGGGTAAGGTGAGGCTACGGAGATAGAAACATGGGTACTAGTTTTTTCAAAGGTCCACACCCATGTATAGAAGCCTTTTGCCTATAGAGTATGCCTATTCGATGCCATAATATGCTTATTTTTCTCCCCTTGGAATAGATTGGAGCAAGCAATTAATCCTGAAACCATGGCAATTAGACGAGGCCATTTTTAGACTAGCAGCTTGCAGGAGGCATGGCATTGTTCTGAGGATTATTAAATACCCATTTGGACAGCACTTGGGTTTAGGGCCAGAAACACAGCCATGAGCTGCTGTGTTAAGCCCTTTAAAACACAATCAATGTCATTCTCTTTTTTCTGGTGTGACCTTGGGTGAGTCCCATGCCTTCTCTGGAACTCAGTTTGCTCATCTGTAAAATGAAGAGGCTAAGGTTAGACGATCTCTCCAGACCTTTCTAGCTCCATGGCCCCATGGTTCAGACATGCAGCTGTTCCCCCTGGGATGGAGGAGAGACTCTCTAGACTGTCCAGCTTCCCTGGAGACAGGAGCCGCTGTCCCCTCCTTCACAGCTGCTCTGGGCACCAGGCATTCGGAGCAGAGCAGCTGTGCCTAGATTCCCTGGCGGCAGCTATGGGCAGCAGGCTCTCATGCCATCTGTCCTCAGTGGTGAGGTTACAGCCATTTCTCCGTGAGGTGCAGCTAGCCAATGACCCATGGCACCATCCCTGGGTTTGTGCAACTGTGCGGCGCCTGGAGGAGCCGCCCCCTCCCAGCAGCTTCAGCTGGTGCAGCTGTGCCTGCCTGCTCTCCGCCCACCTCCGGGGAGCGGGCAGGGGAGGAGCTGGAAGGGCCAGTTTGGCATTTTTCTCTGCAGTGGCTGCAGGGTTGCCTCTGAATGCCTCCAGTTCTCAAAGCACTTGGATTCTATTTTGCTTTGGTTTTCATTATTTTTTTTTTTTCCTTTTCATTTTCAAGTGAGGGCTCCCTGCAATCTCCACCCCAGTGCAACCAATGACTGAGATACTGTGGCTGAAACTAGAGCTGGGGATCCAAAGCTTCATGAGCTCAGCGAAGCCAGCAGGCAGGTGGGAAGGGAGGAGGAAATGAAAAGAAGATGGAGAGGGGAAGAAAAGAAGGAAACGAGAGAGGAGAGGGCAGAAAGGGCCGGGGAGAGAAGATGCTTCCTTTACTGGTCTGACCACCTGGCTTCCTTTACTGTGTGGGATCTGGGTAGGAGATGACAAATGCCTCATCGGGTCTGCTGTCGTGTGGAGTTTCTTGCCCATATTCCCAGCTAGACCATGTGTTCCTTGCAGGCAGGGATCACATCCCGTTCCTGTCTCTCTCCACTGCCCAGCATAACAGCAAGAACCCCAGTGATAGCCTGTAATTGCTGATGCATGGTCTCATTTATTTCTCAAAACAGAGCATGTATCATAATCCCTTTTTAAAAAAAAATAGCAGAGGAAATTGAGGTTTAGAATTGTTAGTAAATTTGCCCAAATCACACAGCTTGAAAGAGTCCAAGTTGAAATCCACCAGTAGCCTCTTTTACCCAAAGCCCATATTTTTGTCACCATGCGACTGAAGAAGGAAAAGAAAGAGATGCAGGGCTCTGAGGGAAGTGCATACTTACGGGGGGAGAGGTTATATCAGGAGGGGTGGACATGTCCCCAAAAAGTTCTAACTGGGTCACAGCCTGAAAAGAAAAAAAGATAATGGTGTAATCACATGAGGAACGGATGCTGTGGGCATTGCTTTAAAAAAATTTGATTTGAGGACACACGTTTCTTTTTCATCATGACTATATAAACAATAAACCCAGTTGGTCATTACGATACCTCTTGATCCCAAAGACAACATCTCGGATGTAGCCGGAATCAATTGTTGCTTCAGTGTGTCCGGCTCTTTATCTGGGCTTAGTCAAGCAGATCTGGGCTTAGCCACCTTGCATAGGCAATAATAATGCCACTTTTACATATTTACCATCCAATGCCAACACTGTTTCTATTCTCCAGGAGACAAAGGCAAGACACAGTCTCACCATTTGCTTTCTTTTCATGACTGTATCCACATGTACAAAATGCCTTTCATGTATTAAGTACAGCAAGTCACCACTTCATGGCCACTTCTCAGTAAATACTCCTAATAATACTGACCCTGAGAGGTATGAATCCTCATCCCCATTTTTACAAATGAATAAATTGAGTCTCATAGAGGTCACCTCAAGGTCACCCGGGCCATGACTTGAATTTTCTGCATATAGAGCAGGCAGTCAAATGACAGTCCCCAAAAGAATCCATCTTTAAGATAAAAAATGTAGTCGGAGGAGAAGAAAACATATCATTTAATACCAGGAAGGGCATCAAAAACAGCCCAGTATATATACACTATTAATCATTCCGAGGAGCTCCATCACTGTAGACACTGTATCAACTATATTCCCATCCATCATACGACAGTGTCTGAGCAAGGCCAGCCAGAGCAGTGGGAGAAGCCCTTTAAGACACACTTAGAAATTAATCTGCATACACTTCCAGCTTCAGAGTCTGCAGGGAGTCTGTGGTTGGCAATCAAACGGCCTGACTTAAAGTACATAATCATGTGTTTTGTGCAAATCTGCCCACTGCAAAAAAAATACTTTCTGCTCGTCTTTGGATTTTAAGTGATAGTTTCTAATTGGGGGAACCTAAAAACAGCACCCAACTGAAAGGACAGGGAGAGTCTGCCTGTCTGCCAGGTAGGACTCCTGCCCTTGAAATCTGTTCTAACCAGGCAAGGCAGGAGCTCCACGATTCACACAAAGAAAGGAAAATTCTCTGTTACTGACAAATGTGTGAGCTCTGGGCCCAGGAAAAGTCCCATTCCCAGGGATGTATCTGAGCTCTCCCACTGCCAACCTCTGCAATTCCTCATGGCCACTGTTCCCTCATCTGGACATTGGAGATAATGTCCAGATAATACCTCCTTTGCAGATTTACTGACAATATTACTAGCAGGATTTTGAAGTTGGGGCAAGCCTGGTGAAAAAGGCACAAAAGATTCTTTTCGCTGAAAGTCAAGCAGCTTATCCTGGTTAACTCACTTTCAACTCTTCCCCTTAAGCTTTCAGATTGAATGAATGGTGCGTGGCACACAATAGGGCCCTATACATATTCACTTCCCTCCCAGCTACATAATATGTGTTTTTTTCGTACACGTTGGACTGCGAGGTGTTAGGCACTGTGCTGGGTGCTCGGAACATAAGAATGAGAAATGACAAGTCCCAGCCTGCAGGGAGCTTACAGTCTGGTGGGGACGATCCATAGATATAGATTGTAAAACTTGCTTGTTTTCGGGAAGGCTTCTTCAGCACGTGAACAATAGTTTATATTATTTGGTGAAATGACGCCAATCCTTAGGCTCTCTCCCAAACCCACAAAAGGCGAAATTCTATTTAATCCATTCAAGGGAAGCTTCTGGGCTTCCTGGTCCTTGGAACTCAATGCTTTGCAAATGGCCCACGACTATTTTCAGCGGTAAGAAAATATTAAAATGAAGTTAATAATTAAGTCGCACAATTTACATTTCAAATGTGTTGAACTCGTGGCACACTTTCACTAACATCATAAATATAATTGATTGGCTAATTTTCTCCTTAAGCACAACTTTTAAAATAACCTTCATTCTTGAGTTACAGACTTTCCTCCTGCCAGAGGACTTCCACTCGAGGATTAAACGAGAAAAAAACATGCAGAGGCATTAAACATAGATTGGTATTTCATTCCATTGGATTTGCTGCTTAAACAGAACCTTGAGTTAATTAAATTTTATCGAAAAAGGGGATTCTTAGGCCATAAAATTAAAAATAATTCTAATAACCATATGTGCTTGAGAATCTGGACTAATGTCTATTTTCACAGGCCCTCTCCCCAAGTTAACCCTAGGCGTTTTATTTGTAACTTAATAAGCCATGTTCCATCTGATAATATTGTTGTAATTAATCACTTTAACGGCCTCATGAGAATAAAACTAACCATTCACATTTGTAAAACACTTTATAGTTTACAGCACGTTTTCTGATACAGTATGATCATGCTGGACGCTCCCTGGGCCCCGTGAAGTCAGCAGCCCAGGAATCTCTCTCGTTCGCTCTAGTTTGCAGATAAGCTATAACAGAGGCCTGGAGGTTAAGTGACTTGCCTCTGATTGGTCAGCTAAAAGAAGCTGGGCTTGACCCACAGGCCGGCCAGCATCTTGTTTATCCATTGGTCCCTTTACCAAGCCCTAGTTAGCCTTCCTTCAAGGTAGAAGTCCAGCCCCACAATATTCTCTAACCAGAAGCCAGGGTTCCCACGGGTCCTGCCATGACACACATCCATCTGAAGAAGTCACCTCCAAGGTCAGCTCCAGATTCCTCCTCGCCTTCCCATTCCTGGCCCTTCGGATGTCTTCAGGTAGAGACATGGCTGTTAATGGCAGATTCTGCCCCATCTTTAGGCCCTGGGCGTCCTCCAGGGTAAGCAGAGTGACCCTGGAAGCTGCCACGGCCGGTGAAGGGGTGGAGGAGGAGCTTGGCTGTTGAGGGGGGAGCCCCTCGGTGTCTCCATCAGGCATGTCCCCTTCCCCCACAAGCCATCCTTTGATACGAACAAATGATGGTTTTCCAATAACATCTGGAGTGCTGTACAACCTCTTTCAGGGTTAGACCCCTGGTCCTTCTTTCAGCTAGCCCATTGCAACTAGACTCCTAGGTCCCTCCTGTAGAGAAGTTCTGAAAGTGCCATTGATGAAGGCAGAGGTGTCCTTGACGGACCCCCAGGACATATTCACACAGACCCACTCCTGTTCTGACATCAGGTACTCCTTCGTTCAGGACAAGTATGTAGCCCCTACTGTACATCAGCGACTGTGCCAAGAGCAGGGGATACAGGGATGAGTAAGGCATGTTCCTGTTCTGAGTCTCATGAGCTGCCTGTTCTACGGGAAGACAGACCTATAGACAGAGAAGCACCCGGGGCTCACGAAAGGAGGGGCTGCCTCAGGGCCTTTGCACACGCTCCTTCTCTGACCTAGATCACTCATTCCCTCCCCCATTGCCTTTCCCACCCATCCTCCAGGACACAGATTAGAGGACTTTATTTCTTCCTGGGAAGTGTTTCCTAACTCAATTTGTACCCCAAATCCCATTGCCCCAAACAGCTTATGTGAGCCTCTCAGAACACTGGTTGTCAGCCTTGGGTGTACATAAGGGGAAAACATGGATGCCTGGTTCCCACCCCTTGAGGTTCTGAATTAGTTGGTTTGAGGTACAGTCTAGTAACTGAAACTTTAAAATCTCTCAAGGTGATTCTAATTGGCAGCCCAGATTAAGAACCCCTATCCTAGAGGCTTCCCAAGTGCCCTGTACTCAGGGGTGACAACGTTCACCGGCCTATGTATTAACCAATCTGAAGAAACACTGGCTGCAAACCAGTACACTTATTCCAGGCTTGACCGACCAAATAGCAGCCTTGCCTGGTTTTTATCTCCACAGGTGGACTGAGCACATCCTGTTTACATGTCTGAGTCCCCACTATACTACACTATACTATGCTCCCCTACCCCACCCTTCTCTACTGACCCCACCCTCTCCTCTCCTATGCTATGCAATGTCGCACTGTTATACTTAGAGCTCCCTGAGAATGGGGGTTGTGTCTTCCTCTCTATTGCATCTCTAGCATCTATCAGAACACCTAGGACACGTCAGGAGATTGAAAAATATTTGTTGAATGAAATGAAGGGGTGTCACGTCCTCTCCAACACACACTCCTTCTCTTTCTCTCTCATGCGCGCAAGCACGCACACACACATACCCTTGCCCCGACTCTTCTCCTTCATCGCGGGGCCCACCAGGAGTCTCCTGTGAACATTAGGATAGGCAAGCACTGGAGCAGAGCAGAGCACCTGCCATTCCTGCAGGAGGGTGAGGATGCATGGAATGGATGAGAATGACCAGAGCAACCCTCATGTCACAAGAGCCTGGAGGCCTTACCTTTGTTGCCTCAAAAATCTCATCAAAGTCCATCGGCAGCTTTCTGTTCTGTAAGCACAAGGCATGACTTATGAGCATGAAATGAGCGATGGGACGATGACATGAAACAGTTAATCAGGTTGGGCCCTCTCACACTTACAGGGGTTGCCGCTGCAAACCGTTCTTCAAAATCTTCAAACGTACAACTGTTCTGAAAGCGTAAGGGATGATGAATGAGGATGAAGTGAATGACATACAAATGACATGGGTTTATGAGTTTAATGATGATGGGATCTATGGTTTACACTCCCGTGGTCTCAGGAGGTGGGAGCTGTTGCCAACGTACTGTGAAAACTCTAGAATATGCTCCCAGCATATGATAAAACACGGGCCTGACGAGGAAATACAAGCAATGGGGAGTTTGTAGCTTTAAAGTCCATCTTCCTTAAATTACAGCCCTGACTCGGCCAGTCTCAACAGTGGAAGCAGATAAGAGCATGATGTTTAACCTTGAGATTTTTACTTTAAAAAGAAAAAGTGTTATCATGTGTTTCAGCCAAACTTAGTTAACTTGGAGCAGTCTGTGAACAGCAGGTTTTATAAGTGCCTTTGTGCATGCGGCCTTTTCTGCTTGAAATGCTCTTCTTAGCCTTGCAGGCCCAAAGCTCACCCAATTCCTCAAACCCAGCTGAAAGGCCACCTCTTCC